TTGCAGGTCCCGTTTTGGACCCTGGCTGCCCCTCGGCAGGGCTCCTCTTGTTTTGAAATCCAGCGGGAGCCTGGCTCGTTAATCGTCTCGCCGCTGGGCTCTGCAAAGCGAGGGACGGCCCCTCGTTTCTGCCCGAGCAAACAGCTCTCTGAGCTGCACTGCGCTCTCCGGAACCTATGCAGTCTTTCAGTTGCAAAGCCGAAAAAGTGACTTTTATCTTCCGGATGAGTGCTTCAGCAAACACTTTAAAAATTTTATTTCATGCCTGGTGAGGAATCTAGTTTGCGCACTGCTAAGAAATGGGAGCAGAAGTCGGGGAAATGTCTGCTTTGCTGGATGTAATTGAGTAACTGTCGGGTTTATCATTTCTGAGCCTAAAATACTTAAGATTGAGAATTGAGACGGGGTTTGGTAACGTCTGCTAGTTGGACCTTGAGATCTTGGATGTCAAATCATTGCTGCTGTGTCCTGTACAGTGTACAGGAAGGACCTTCTTAGTTAACAAATCTGCTCTGGAAGCGTTAGGGAGCCCTCCTCCTCCTCTTCCTCCTCCACCTCCTCCTCGCAGGGAGCTCAAGGGCAGCCGCGCAGCTGAAAGGAGACACGGTGATTGCGTCCAGCAGCGGCCCCTGTGCTCCAGCAGCCCAGTTTTATTGCTTCTGGTTTTTTATATGTATTTAGTGATGGCCGTGTATTGTTTAGTTGCCTTTTGAAAACCAAAACTCAAAAGAAAGGGGAACGATCTCTGGAGCACGTTCACTAATTCAGAACAGAGTTGTCCTGTTTCTCCCTAAATGATTTCTGTTCCAGTTTTCCCGATTGCAACGTAAACCTTCGCCTTTGTTTTTCCAGTGCCCCGATTCTGCGTGCAAGCAGGACCTCCTGGCCTACCTGCAGCGCATCGCGCTCTATTGCCATCAGCTGAACATCTGCAGCAAAGTGAAGGCTGAAGTTCAGAACCTCGGAGGAGAGCTGGTTGTGTCTGGGGTACGTACGAACGTGTCCGGTTCCTGTGGCTTTTCTTCCAGGGGTAACAATTATCCCAAGCGAAGCTTTTATGCTAAACATTATCAACGGAATAGACGGCAGATTTTGGAGCATTCAGTCAACATTTTAATGTTTTAAAGTTTGTGATGCTGCCTGTGCTGCCTCCTGAGTTCTTGGAGGAAACGCGTACTGTTTGAAAGGGGAAAAATAAAGACTCCTCTTTTCCCCACTCAACAGCGTTTGTAGACAGATTCACTTTTACCTGTGTGGAATCTACTGTTTTTTCCCGACTGTTTTTCACTCGTAGCGCGGTTAAATCACTTTCATCAGCGGAGCCAAACCTACCCCATGTCCCTGCGCGGCCTCGCTGCACGCTGGGGTGCTGCACTGCCCCGGAGATGTTAATATTTCAAACCAGCAGTGCCCTGACGAGTGCGGGGACTTTTCGCGGCTGCTCTGTTTTATGACCGCTGAAAGCTGCCGTAGGCCAACCTGCTTCCAAATTCTAACCATTACTGGGCCAATAATTTTTTCACTGTAGTTTATGAAATGCTTCCTCCAAAGAGGGATCAATATGATGGATATTTGTGGGGAGGGAAGTGGAGCTAAATTCTTAACCCCTTCTGGCATATTCTTCCTTGCCCCGGACGGTAGGTTTGATGCCCGGTGCTTTTGCCCCTCCATGTCACGACTGAGGCGGGAGGGTTGAAGAAGGGACAGAAAGGGCCGATAGTTCAATATTGCTATCTGAACCCCGAAGAGCAAATGGGAAAAAGCTTAACCACCTTCTGCCATTTAGCTATTTTGAGTGCTTGAACTTCTTAGCGCATCTTTTTCCCCCCGCAAACAAGCTAGAATTGTGGAAAGAGTACT